GCATTGTGTAAATAAGAGTAGGCTGGGATATGATGCCGTGTATTCTGGTATAAATTTGCCTATGTTTCGTGAGAAGTACTGTCCCCATCTTCACGGTCGAGGAGTAGGCCAAGTAGGTAATGGGCAAAAATCAAACAGCAAATAGAAGGAAACAGGAGTAAACTTGTACCGGACTGAACGGCGTCACACCCTTCACATAGTCTGTTCTAAATTGTCCTGACTCACCAAGTCCAAAAATATTGCACACGTATTGTTTTCACATTTGTAGACCAGCTCAAATTGAAGAATTGTTCCCGAGCTTAAACGGGGCTACAAACTAGTGGAGGGTACTGTACACGGCAGTCAGAGTGTGCGAGGAAGCAGAAGAGAAGGGGATGAAGAAGAAGATGGAGAAGGGATGGGATGATGGAACACGAGAGGGTGGAAAGGGAGAATTGAACTTGGTGCGTTATGTTCGTGAGGTTTTGTTCTTGCAAGAAAAGAAGGGAAAAAAACAACAAATTGAAAAACAAGGGACATTCCGAAATAGAACCCGTCGGTAGGAACAATGGTCAGAGGAAGTAAAAGAGTAATACTAATTAAACGATTCAATTTAATTAATAAAGATTTAATTGGAGAGCAAATTTCTAATCTAGCAAATCGGCTCACTTCACTCATTGAGAAGCTCGGTCTCACCCTAAGAGTGAGAGCGTCGCCCAAGCAGGGCAATGTGTGTCGGTTTCCATGGAAACCAGATGCAAAACTAATCCCAGTTTCGTATAACTCCTGGCTGTTTCGGTCGTCGCTACGCGCAGCACTGCCCTCTGAGTGACGCCTTGTACGCTGCTACAAGTTTGCACTTATATCCTGAAGATAAAGGCAGCATTTTCCTCCGAAACATCAGTGAACTAACAGACTGCGCGGCGCCACATTTCAAGATGCGAAAAACTTCGTAATATTGGTTACGAATTACAATAGGAGCAGAAGATGGCAGAAATAAACAGCAGCAAGATTTCAGTCGGTATTACAGTACCCTCAGTCGGTACCACGAAGTCAACCTTTACCGAGATCTAACCGTAGATAATAATGATGATGATGACTATTATTATTATATCGAGTTCTCTTTCCGGAAGAATTCAACTTCATAGCGTGAATATTCGGTAAAATCGAGATTTCAGAGTGTCCCACAAGGGCTGTAATGTGTAAGGGTAGGGTCAATAGAAGGGCTATCTGGGAAACCGTAGCTAGAAGTGGAAACCGTCACACTTTCCCCTTGAATGTTGAATGGGCACAGTTCTGTTATAAGCAGTAATGGAGTACTCTCTGTACAAGGCCGGTGTAACTGAATCTGTATGTCTGTTAAAACCCTGTAAAGTGGTTAATATATGTACTACCTGCTTTAACATTAAAAACGCTTCATTTTAACCACAAAATGAATTTATATGTTCCGTATAGTTCTCACAATAAACAGCGACTGTTTCCCTAAACAGCATTAACCAGTTGGGCTCTGTAGCGGAGAAGTAATGTGTTTCCTGTGAGGTACGGACTGAATTGCTATATACTCTGCCCACACAGTGTATCTGTATATTCCGTATGGTTCTCACAGTAAACAGCGACTGTTTCCCTAAACAGCATTAACCGGTTGGGCTCTGTAGCGGAGACGTAATGTTTCCTGTGAGGCACGAACTGAGGGTTTTATATATTATTTGATACTAGCCTTCTTTCCCCAAGAGTGTCATGAGTCTCGTGGTACTCGGAACTAAGAATCAACGTGCTGGCGAGAGCCCATAGTAATTTACTGGACTTCTTTTCCCAACAACATTTGCATCTTCTGGCTGGCAAGGAAGCTATTCATGTTGGACACAGTATTGATGTTTCGTGGCAGTTGTGCTAACATCTGCAGCTAGACTGCAGACAATTCCTGCTACTATATCATGCCTCAGAGAGTCAAAAAATGACTATATTAGACCTAAATTAACAAAACTGAAGAGAAGGTGACGTTATTTCCAACTGAACCTAACAGAACTCCAGAGATGCAAACTTCGGTTCAGAAATGTAGGTCTGAAGCCTGCATGGGACCTACCTGTTACGTAGAGAGAAGCAGCTGAGTTACAGTTTGCCTAGAAAGCTCCCCCGCAAATGATCTCTCATTCTGCAAGAGATAACCAGAGAAGAAACTCTTCAACACAAAGTCTAGTAAATTAAGAGAAGAGGAACTTGTCTTCTCCGGTTCTTAAAGCGACCTCGAGCTTGGAAGCCTGTGATTAGATTCAGTGGAGCAACTGAGCCGCTACTGCTGCAATTTCCAGCCACGTGGAAAAAAGAAGGAAGGAGTAGGAGAAGGGAGAGAAATAAATAAAAAAAAAAACAACAAACACAACACTAACCCCCACCCCTTTCTCTTTCAGTTTCATCAAGCCGACCTGTCCGGACATGTCCTCCGTAAGCTGTCATTTGTCTTGTGCCTCTGCACTTGATCTCATTACAGTTCTGAATTATACAGGGCAAACATACGTACGTTTCGTGGCACGACACGCTCATTTCGTCACGAAATAAGGCATGTCGCTTAAAAGTAGTTCTATAAGTTCCCCATAGACGGCTACGTTATGATTGTCTGTAGCTTTCGGCACGAAGTTCTCAGCGTCTAGACTATAGAGCGTCGAATGATAGGATGACAAATGGATGATTTTGAAGTGGAAAGGTTTTGGGAGGAAACGGGTTGGGCCTAATAATGGCGCTAACTTAACATGTACCTGGAACAACTGAGGAACACCACGAAACATGTGAGGATAACCTGTGTACAGACCGAGACTCGAACGAAGCACCTCTCGAATGCGAGTATATAGCGTTACCGTTACTTGAACCTGACAGGTCCGTTACGAAGTTACGAATAACACAGACACATTGTATAGAATTTTGGATGGTAAAGAAGGCGGTAAATATACTTACCGTTGTGCTAAGTGCATGTAAGAGAGCCTTACCGACGTCAATGTCAAGGTAAACTGGAACTGTGTTTAATTTATACTTTCCCTCGTCATAATTTGGGGCCGGGATAGCTCAGTCGATATAACGACTGGCTGCGGGCTGGACGAGCGAGGGGTCGGAGTTCAAGTCCCGGTAGGGACAAGAATTTTCTCTTCTCCACGTCGTCCAGACAGACATTGGGATCCACCAAACCTCCTATCTAAGGGCATGGGGGGCCCTTTCCACGGGGGTAGAGCGGCCGGGGCGTGAAGCTGACCACTAACCTCCAACTAGTGCCGAGGTAAAGAAAATGTGGCTTTATATATCCACTCCCCCATACGCCTTCATGGCATAGCACTTAGTTAGTTAAGCACAGGGACAGCTTTACCTTTTTACCTTTTCCTCGTCGTCACTAAGAGAGGCGCTTGCCCCGCTCTGTCGGGCCACCAGAGCTTTCCCAACTGAGTAACAGCGTGGGGTGGCCGCGCCATAGCTGAAGCGGTCAGTCACTGGCTTCCCGATCCCGGGTCTGGTCAAGTGGGATTTGTGGTGAACAAAGTGGCGCTGGGGCAGGTTTTCTCCGAGTACTTCGGTTTCCCCTGCCAATCTTCATTCCACCAGTTGCTCCACAATCACCCTCACCTATCATCTGGGGCTGGTACAATAGGCCAGAAGTGGCCGCAATACAAGGGACTTAGTCCCACCCCGCCTTCAATAAAAAAAACCGCGTGGGGCAGAATTCCGAACAGTTCCTCGCTTTCCTCGTGCGTCAGTTCAGGACTGTCTCAGTACCCTGAGTGCACAGTGTTCAGTGGTTTCATGAACTGGTGAGGATATGGAAGCAAGCGGTTGTGGCCTTCAGGAACTGAGGAAAGCCACGAAAAGCCTCAATCACGAGCATGTACGGAATTCGAACCGATAACCACCCGGATTCAAGTCTACATCGTTACCGCTACAGTAACCTGCGCCTGTTTTTAGGCCACACCGTCAGAACTTTTTTCTTTAAGATTCGCGTTGCTGAACAGCTAGGTCGCCCTGTTTTGCGAAGTTTCCCCAACAAGAGCAAGATTTGTGAAAGCGCGCCATATGGGCCGTGATGTTGCGTCATAACCCTGCGCAAACGTAAGTACCGCCGGCCTTGTGCACACAATTAATAATATTGTTAGCCATCAAATATAATAAAGAGTTTCCAGATCACTGACTGTCGCCTTCTGCACCCAAACGAGCTCAGCCTAATCCAATGTCTGGCTGTATTACATTATATCCCGTGGTGTAATGTCTTTATCGTGTAACAGATAGGGGTGTGTGTCCCCCTCCCACTTAGGGTGAAAGCCACGTGTTTGTTGGTGAAGCCCCGTAGCTCCTACACTTAAATACACGGCACAAGATAATCGCAAATTTATAGCATAATCAAATATTGCCTTAACTGGATTACAGCCCATACTCGTTAGAGTAACATGATGTTGGCTATTGGGGACACTTGCCAGACCTAGATATAGATGGGAGGATAACATTAAACTATATCTTAAAGGGTACAAAAGAACGCATGATGAGGAGCTTCATAATTTGTATTCTTCGTCAGTATTATCAGAATTGTGCTACTCCGGGATGTGACTCCGTGTACTTTAACAAATAGAGAACACAAATCTTAAGAAATATGTTGTTTCTAACTTCAAGGAAAATTCTATTCTACCATGAAGGCAGAGACAGCAGATTCTTTCAAACTGTACGGCGTCACATAAAACAAAATAATAATCTTAATATTCACCACCATGACAACCTCAAATTCAAAATACAATTACGATCATCAAACCAAGGAGACACAGGTAAGAAGGGCATGTAGCAAGCATGGGAAGGTTTAGAAATGCTTGCAGAATTTTACGCGGAAACCTTGAGGAAAGTGTCCTCCTGGGAAAGCTGTGCGTGAGGGTGTGGCCCGGATTCATAGGACTTAAGAATAGGGACCAGGGACTTCTTGACGAGCTGAGCGGCTGTCAGCTTCTCAAGAAGGAGTCAGTTGTGACAGTGTGATAATTGTGTGCTGTGTGTGTGTGCAGCGGGAGATGCGGTGCACGAGAGCACCTCAGACGGGAACTCGGAACACAACTCGTCAGGTGATGACGACTCCCAACTGCGCCTGCGCCTCAAGAGGAAGCTGCAGAGGAACCGCACGTCCTTCACCAATGAACAGATCGACAGCCTTGAGAAAGGTAACGGCTCTTCTTGGGGTCTCCATGTTCTTGCCCTGCCGCCTCAACAGCTCCTTGCACTGCCATCGCGTCACCTCCTCTGTCACGAAATTTGAGGCTCTCATTGCGGTCAGTATTAAGATTACCGTCTTCTCGGGTCTTTATATCAGAGTACACGTCGTCACGTCCCAGAATATTACGTGATGGACAACCAAGGGGTCGGAGTTCGAGTCCTAGTTGAGTCAAGAATTTTCTCTTGTCCGCGTCGGCTCTGCGGTCAACCCAACCTCCTATCCAATGGGTACCAGGAGCTCTTTCCCGGGGTGTAAAGCGGCCGGGTCGTGAAGCTGACCACTCACCTCCAACTAGTGCCGAGGTCAAGGAAACGTGGGTCTATACATCCACTCCTCCATATGTCCTCATGGAGTAATGCTTAATTAGTTAAGCGCAGGGACAACTTTATCATTTTACACCACCGCAAAGTTGTAACAGGAGGTTACAGAAAGTTACTACCCAGGAACTTCCTACATTTCTCCGGGTACTGTTAGGGTGATGAGGTCAGGAACAGAGAGATGGGCCCGGCATTTAGCATGTGTCGGTGGGATGAGAAACGCATACAAAATATGGAAGGGAAAAGACCTCTTAGGAGACAAAGACATAGATGGGAGAATACTATTAAAATGGCTCTTACAGAAATAGGATGTGGCAATGTGGACTTATCTGGCTCATATCGGGGTCCAGTGACAGGCTGTTGTGGATACGGTTATGAATCATCGGGTTCCATGAAACAAGCTTAGCGACTAGCAGCTCCTTGGTGGAATTAGTATTGAGCGTCTCTCCTGCGTATCCTTCACGGTCCTGTTGAAAGGCCGAAATGAAATTCTATCCTGCATAATTTTTCGGATCACTGTGCGAGAGGAAAAGGTAAAGTTGTAAGATAAAGAAAAAGATGGTGGGACCGAAGCTATTTATGTTGACGGAACACTCCACTGGGTCAGGTCCTAGCAGTTAATTCTGCACTGCATGCTACAAGGCTGGCTTCTCCACGGACCGAATTGCTGTTACAGGTCTGAATTTAACAAGAAATTCCCCTTAAGCAAGTTGATGCTATACAGAGCCGGTTGGCTCAGCGGTGACGCGCTGTTCGAATCTCGACAGGGGTACCGGCTTTCCTCATTGAGGTTTTACGTGGTTTTCTCTGTCCCTCAAGGCATATTTCGGGGTAGTACGGCCAGAACGACTTCCTTTCCAATTTGTTCAGTCTTCCTCATACCCGACGCTATTTAAAACACATTATGAAACGTGGCAAATGTGCTACAGGAGAACATAGTGTGTTTCGGAGGAACCTGCTGTCTCTATCCTCAGGACAGAATCATATACAGAATCACCTTCTTTGCCACGTACCGTACATGGTCTCAAGGGACCAAGACAACTTAAAGAGAAAGTGAGAGACAGATCGAAGGACAGATTTGATTTTTATTTCTCCTCTCTTTAATCGGAGCCATTGTCTCCTGTTCTTAGCCCCCTGCCTCGTGTCTTGTCGCAGAGAACAACAGCGCGAGTTGTGGGTTGTTCTTTCAGCCTTTCGTTTCATTCACTCAAGTCTACTGCCTCCAAATTCCAGACCCTACGAAGGACTCTGGTGTAGCGGAAACCTTCCACATTTGTATTCGAGAGGTTCTTGGTTCGAATTTCGACCAGGACACTGGATATTCTGATTGAAGTTTACTTCAGTCTTTCTAGACAAATGCCGACATAGCAACTCTGTTAGGAAAAGATCATTTTCTGCCAAAACCGTTTCAATTTAACATTCAGCAACGCCATCTGACGCTATACTGTGTAACTACTGGCAGAGTCGCTAAGTAAGCCACAAACCACTTAGCAGATGCATACAACTAACTTGCATCCTTCTGTCCTCTTATTCCTTTCTGTTGTGTCTTGTGACACTTTTTTTTGTGCAGCAATTGAATCATGGCTTCCGTTCAAGCACGATATGTTTATATGTGCTTTATGGAATCACATAAAGCAGTTTCACATTACCGTTGAAATATCACGGCCCATATTCTGGGCTATGAATAGAACAAACATTTTTATTCTGTTCACGTTCCAATTTAGTTGTTTCAGAAAAATGATTAATCCCGAAAGGAACAAGCACTTGTCCTCTTTCCAAGCTCATTGTGACTTCCTCGAGCGAACTTTATTTAACGTTTCAGATGCAACGCAATGTAAACCTTTCCCTGTAAAACTTTATACGAAATTGTTCGTAGAGACGGTGTAACCTCCTCGGAAACAGTATCACATGATCTGAGTGTGCTTCGCTGCATGAACACTTTGAAGCCGAAAGTTTATCAAATAATGTTTGTGAAATTCATTTCGAATCTAATAGAAAATATACCTAGTCCCCATTACAAAAGCCAAGCGGTTGGTACTGTTTACTGTGAGATTATTCCGAAACACATAAATATTTGTTACACTGTGTGGGCAAAATGAAACGTGAAGAATGCCTTCTTCTGGGACGTGGCACCGTGTTGATCTTGCGTGAACCGACGTTTCGGAGGAACGTATCGCCTCCATCTTCAGGGTTAAAAAAATTCGCGAGCGAGGAACCAGTGTAAGAAGGTGGTTGCAGTTTCACAATATCTATACGGCTCCATACTCCAGAAGACGGAATTCTTCATAGTCACATAACGTGAAAACAAGAAATCTTACAAAATGAAAAATTCCTGAGTGTTACAGCATTTGGTGTGTCCTCTAAAGGATCACAGAACTTGAGTGAAATTGATCCCACAACAAAAGAAAACCTTAGCAGTACTTGCAGAAGATATTAAGACATGAAAATAACGTAAAGCCTAGTGCTTGTAAGTCGAAATTCAGTGAGCAGGTTAAAGACTGGAAGCAAATTGTAGCTCTCTTCTATCTTTCTGCCTTGTCCTTTGCCAGGCAACAACACCTTACGCTGGTTAATGTACGTGCCGGACATCCCCTTTCGAACACTCACTTAACTTTCGTTTGAGAAGTGTGGGGAATTTGCCCCTTCCCTTGTGCACCTGCAGGGGCCGCGATACACTGGTTGATACTAACGAACTCGGGGAATTCCCTCGGATCTGGAGGACCGCACAGTATTGGCGGTCTCTGTGAAGCGTGTCCACTTCACGTTCGAATTAGCGGCAGAAGAATATGGGATTGGTACCGGCACTGCGCGGTGCGGTACTTTTCTCAATGAATAGCAGTCGGATATAAAGACAATCGCCCATTAATCATTTCTGCGTCGTTTTTCCGACGCTGTGTGTGTTATATGGCGCTGAATGGGAGGGTGATTGTTGAATGATGAATTCGAAATCATTCGGAAAGAATTGGTCTTCACCTAATTTCAGCTACTGCCCTGGCATTTCCTGGAAGCACTCAAGAACTCCCCAACATTCCTCGGTGTCCCGGTCAGGATTTGAACTCAGAACTTTCCGACTACAATGAAGGAGAAGGCTACATTCATCAGTATCTTGTCAATGTTACTCTTTTGTTCACGTCTGATTGTTGCATAACAGTTGTGGCGTATTTCATTCCTGAAGACAGTCTGCTTCTTCTTGTTTTCAGAGTTCGAGCGAACGCACTACCCAGACGTCTTTGCGCGGGAAAGACTGGCAGAGAAAATCGGCCTTCCCGAAGCACGAATTCAGGCAAGTCTCAAGTTGAATCGAAACTGATAATTAAAAGGCTGGAACTAAAGGCGAATTCTTGTGAACCGTTTGCACTTGCACTCAGTTCTGTGTCCCACGGCTTCTGAATCTGTCGTCTCCACCAATTCGAAACTGAAGATCAGCTTATGTAACCGTGCACTTGTTATCAAATTCACTCAAATTTATAGCGAATACTTAGTTGTTTTATACCTGTTTAATTCTATAAATTACGTGAGTTTCTGTTCTTGTGGTACAGTGCAAAGTGATCTATGTCCACTTATGTTTGTTCATATGACAACCTTTTAATTCAGAAAGCGGTAACTGGACGTCCATCGTAACGCGGTTCTGAATGATGCAGACGTCCTCAATTGTAATAATACACACTGACAGTATTGTTGCAACAAATAAACAGTTTCATTTTTAATTGTTTCTTGCATCCTGTTGTGTATTTAATCAATATTAGAGTTAATTTTACCGTCTACACAACACGTTTTTATTATTATCATTATTATAATAATATTATATATATATAATAATAATAATAACGTGTTGTGTAGACGGTAAAATTAACTCTAATATTGAAATAGTTTCATTGTTTAAGTATAATTTAATTTAAAAAAAATAACTCTGGCGAGCAACGGGCATTTGTAATAGTCCTTTATAAAAATTTGTAGTTCTTTCATGTAATTTCCATATCGAATAAAATATTTTGGGTAGCCTCTTCTGGCGAAAAAATCAAACATGAATTATAATCGAAGAGAAGTATCTAGGTCAAATTTGCCTGCCTATTTCTGAACTCCAAATTCACTGCGAGGATTCTGAATTTCAGAATCCGGTTGCAAATCTTCAATTAAACGTGTATGTATCTACAGTCCGTCAATAAGAGGCGTCGTCCCTCTTTAAACAAATGGACGACGCCCCTTATGACGTGGAATAGGATTTTACGAAAAAATTTTAATAGAAACTTTTAATGGATTTTAATTGATTATTTAAGCTATTTTTAAGTGGACTGCAACACGCGGTTTTAGCTCACAACAGAGAAGTGTAGCAGTTTGGCTGCATTAAGACACCTGAAGATGGCAATCTATGGCCGAAACATGTTGTGTTAAGTGTTAAATTGTGAATAAGCAATTGTTGCATTATTGACGGACTGTGGATAAATAGACGTTTCACTGCGAAGAGTTATGAAGTTTTCTAAAACTGAAAACTCTATAGCATTTCCTCTCAGACAGACTTCCCCGAACAGTTTACATGGACAGGAAACACTGTAGCAGACTCTCAAAATAAAGATATCCCTCCGCCGCGACTTTATATAGTTCCAGTGTGTCTTTTGTTATTGTGTTAAGATGCATGATATGTCCCGAGCGAGGTCTCACAGAAACGGAGCCGTGTGGCTGTGTGTTTCTGATTACATACACATCACTGACTCCATTAAATTACTGCATATCTCTCCCATTGCATTCGTAATGTTCGAGACAGATACATTGCGTTCTAAAAGAGGCTTCAGTAGTCGAGCATCACCAGCGCCATCAAATAGCAGCGGGCGTTAGATTAGGTTACACTCGTTGAATTTCCACTAAAGGCAGACGTAGATTTCTCTTTGCCTAAAGCTACGGGCTCTTCATGTTAAAAATTTGCAGTCTTATATATATATATACACACATACATACTCCAGCCTATAGGCCTATATACAGTATGTACTACTTGAGAAC